AGGATGTGGCTGCCAATGAGAAAGGGAGGTTGAGTCTTGGTGGGTGGCTGAGCTGAGGTACCTGGGAGAATGAGAGCGTCATTGAGGCTGGAGCAGGCCCACATTCCTGGCTTTAATTCAGCCTCAGCTCCTGGGCCACGTTGAGACCTGCTTCCTCTCCTTGGGCCAGACTGCAGCCTCCCCTAGAGCCAGGCCCAGGCTCCTACCTGGCCTAGCATCAGGTTGGTCAGAAAAGCCAGTCCAAGCACAGCCCACACCCACCATGGTCTCCCTCCTACCGGCCCAGCCTTTTCTTTTAAAGTCTGAGTGGTTTTAAGGAGGCTCTGGCAGCTGGGCCTTTGCCTCAGGGTCATTTGAGCTGCTTTGTCCCTTGGCCCCCCAGCAGTGTCCAGGGCTTTGAGGCTCTGACCACCTCACTGTTGCTTGACCAGGTTCAAGGGTTCTATTGGGACAGTGGAGGGCCAGAGGCGCCTCTTCTGCCAGAAATGCCAAAAGGACCCAAGTCACTAGCCTGGTTACTGAGACCCTGCCCTGAATTGGTGAATGCTAGCCAGGGAAGGGGGGACATGCGTCTCTGCCTCCCCAACGTCCTGGCACTGGGAAAAGAGCTCTACCTTAGGGCCCTGGGGACCCTGAGAATGGGACAGGGCAGACATCGGCTCCAGGCCTCACTGACGGTGGTCGTCAGGACACCTCTCCCAACCTGTGGAATGTCTGTATTCTGCAGCACCCACCCATGGATCCCCAGGCCTCAGCCACAGGGCCTCCCCTCTCTGGGCCACAGAGGGCTCCCCTAGAAATTAGGAGGCATTTTTGTGGCAGCTACCACCAGAGAGGCAGGGAGCTGCCAGGGTACCCCATGAGCACCACACCCACCCCATCCGTATCCCTGCTCTACCTAAGATGGCACCTGGAAAACCTAGTGGCTTAGAAATGCTTTTTAAAGGGTCAGAAACAGGTGGACCAAAGGGGTGGGCCTCCTTGGAGGGGAGGTGATCCTGGGGAAAATCAGGGAGGGGGCAATATCATGGCCCCCCTTCCTCTAGTGGCAGATGCCAGCCTGTAGAGCGCCCTCCATTGGGGAGACAAGTGTGGACCATGGCTCCCCAGGAAGAGCAAGCTGTGAGGGCGGCCCCCCTTACTCACATACCACACACATACTCACACATACTCACACTCACATTCACACACTCACACTCACTCTCACATACACTCACACTCACACACACACATTCACACATTCTCACACTGACTCATACACTCTTTCATACACACACATACACACACTCATACACTCTCACGCTCATTCTCATATGCTCTCACTCTCACACACACACATACTCACACTCACATTCACATCTACACACTCTCATACTGACTCACACTCTCTCACACCACACACACTCACACTTATTCTCATACATTCACACACTCTCACATCACACACTCACACTCACTCACATACTCTCACACTCACTCTCATATACTCACATACTCATTTTTACACACTCACACTCACATTCATTCTCACTCACACTCACACACTCTCACACACACTTGCACACACTCACAATATACTCTCACTCTCATACATACTCACACACTCACACTTACACACTCACACACACACACACAAAGCTGGGGGCACACGAGTATCCAGAAGGACCCACCTGCTCCATCTTCATTCTCAACCCAGTGGAAGGCTCCTGGCTTCAGGGTCCCAGATGACCTCGGGCAGGCTGGCAGCATCTGATGTTTCATCCTCCATAGGTGTGGATTAAGCCTCTGGCCTCAGATGACAGGCCTAGGTTTAAAGCTGCATAGGAGTGTCTGGCCCAGCTCCTGGCCCTTGCCTCAGCTGACCAGTCAGGTGTGCATTGGGCTGGGAAGAGGACTCTTTCCTGGTTCTCTCCAAGCCCCCTCTGTCCACTGCGGGATCCTTCCTGGACAAAGGCCATTACCGCAGCATCTGCCATTATGTGGCCATGACCTGTTCAAAGGCAGCTGCAGTCAGATGGCAAGAAGCCTGCAAGGACAAGCCTTACCTCCCCATCAGGAGCATCCCTCAGGTGGCCAGTGACCACCGGAGGGAGGCCTTGGGGGAGATGCCGGACCAGGCCATAAGGGCCCAGCAGCCTCACTGGGCTGCAAGGGAGGGGGAAGGGGAGCGGCTGCTCCCCCCAGCTTCTGGGGCTCTTTGCTTCTCACCTGAGGCTGAAAACTCTCCTGTAGATTGGCCAGCCCTGAACACTCAGGTGGCAGCGAGGCAAGGCTGCCAGCCAGGCGGGCAGGAAGCATCTGAGCCCACATGCAAGCCCAGAGGTCTGGAGAGTAAAGGAAGGGGATTGTTTCAGGTTTGGGCCTGAGCCCAGCAAGCCAAATCCCTGCCTTTCGGAGGGGAACCAGGCCAGGCTAGGCCCGTGATTAGGGGGAGACAGTCTCCTCAGGCAAGGAAGGCAGCTCAAAATGCAGGTGAGGAAACTGGACACCAGACAGAGCCAGGCAGGACTTTCAGGACGACTGTGGGCCTGGGCCGGGAAGGGGCCAAGGAAGGAGGAGTCTGAGCTGAGGCCAAACCAAGGCTGGCCACCCAGGCAGAGGGGCAAGGCCCTCTCCAGCCATGGGGCAGGGGCACCTCATTTCTGGCACACATCACTTCTCCTCACTCTGCCCTCCTGGGAAAGGCGCATTTCAAGCCCTACCCGGACAAGCCGCCCTCTAGACAACAGCCCTTGCAGGGCCTTAACCCAGCAGAGGCACCACCTGCTAACCTGGTAAAGGTGAGAGGCCAGTGCCCACAGCCCCATCGGAGATCCTGGGGCAGAGGCTGGCTCTCTCCCCCTCCTGAGAACCTCGGCCTCTGCTGGCAGCAGTGGCCATGATGGGGGGCTCCCCAGGACTTCCAGGGGACCCACAGGACAGGGACAGCTGCTTCTCTCTGGGCACTCTCAGGGAGCCTCAGGGTGTAATGCAGAACATTATTTTACCATTTAGGTAGTAGAACCCTTTAGGCCATGGAAAACTCCAAATTCCTTAGCAAGACCCTTATCTGGCTGCTCAGGCCACAGCCCTCAGATCATATCTCTGGAAGCCTCCATTGTGAGAAAGTTTGCACAGCATTATCATATCTACACAGAGGGAGAAGGGTGTCCTTGACCAGCCCCCAAAAAACCTCTTCCTCTTGCCAGACTTCAAAGATCCATCCCCCTCCCTGTCCTGTATACTCCCTATATAAACCCTAGCTCAACCCCTGATGGGGGCTGCTTGGTTTGGATGTGAATATCCCTGGCAGCCGCACGCTAATATAATGAAGTCCACAATTTAAAATTAGTCTGGGTGGTCAACTCGCTAATTTCTCGGTATAACAAGGGGCTTCTCCTCTCTGTGGTTGTGGCTTTGGCTATAAATGGCAGAGCTCGCCTGTGGAGGGAGGTCCCAGGGCTGCCCTGGCCAGCACCCTTGTCTCCCCCCGTGAATGTCTCCAGCACCGGCTCTACGTACAGGAAGGGTGGCCCAAAGGCCCCACATCCTGTCCTCCTGGGGACCTCCTCCCCCTTGCTGAACATTCCCCCAAAGCTTGAGGAGCTGGTAGCTTTCAGGGGGCTGCCCTCGAGAGGAAGAATGGATTCTGGGCAGACCCACCCTTTCCAGATGAGGGCCAGTCATGGGGACAAAGTCGGGGCTGGGCTTATCAGCAAGGGTACATGAGGAGTGTGAGGTGGCAGGTCTGGGAGCCCATGACTTCATCCCATCCCCCAGATGCACAGAAGACCAGCCTCAGCAGAGATGGGGACTTTCAGGAAATAAATCCCTAACTGCCTGCACCACTCCCTCACACTCCCTCTCCTCCACAATTGTTCCCTGAGGGCAGGCAAGCAGGAAGTTCTGCCTCTCTCTTCCTGGGCACTCATAGAAAAGCAAACAGAACCCCATGCCAGGTGCTAGGTGCTAGGGAGCACTCCCACCCCTGAACTTAACCCTTTCCATGCTGAGCATTCAGCCTCTGCCCTGGGAATCCCGGCACTGCTCCCAAAGCATCAGGGTCCCTGGGAAGAGCTGGCAGCCACAGACAAGAGAAGTCTTTCCAGGGCTGGCTCATAACGGGGGTCTCCAGCATTTCTAAAAGCTATTCTCAGCAATCTCCCACTTTGTGTGACCTTTGAAAGAGCAAGTTCAATAAAGTAGTGAGTCCTGAGGCCAGACAGGAAGGGAGGAGAGGTCAATGAATGGGAAGGGGGCAGGAGACTCTGGGGCTGAGGACCAAAAGACAACAACTCTGCAGGGACAGACCTCTGACAAGCTGCAGTGCAGCGGGCAGAGGTCCTCACCAGCCTCTCTTCAGTCAGATGGAAAGAGAGATCAGAGACAGAGAGAGAGACAGAGACAAAGACAGAGACAGAGACAGAGACAGAGATGAGAGAGATAGAGACACAGAGACTAGAGACAGAGACAGAGAGACACAGACACAGAGAGACAGACACAGACAGACAGACACAGACACAGACAGAGAGACAGAGAGAGAGAGGAAGAAGAGAAGTGGGCTTAGGACAGAGCAGGAGGAACGTCTGCTCTAGGGACCAGGAGATGGGCCATGATCCAGTCCAAGAGACTGAGCAGGAGGAATTGGTGCCACAGGAAAACAGAGTCAGAGCAGGAACCCAGGAGCCAAGCGAGGGCTGGCTATGGGAAGGAGCCAGTTGACTCTGAAACCACACCAAGGGCCAGTGTGGAACTGGAACAGAAAAGAGGACCCTGCTTTAGTGGGTGAGGTCATCACTAACCTCGGGAGATTAATTTTAATGGGGGGGGGAGGCAGGGGGAAGGAGGTGAATGGGAGGTGAGGAAATATGACCATTCCTGCCAGTCTGGATGTGAAAGGCAGGCGAGCTAGCCAGCCCCTCGCTCAACTCTAAACGCTCTCTGCCCACTCTAAACACTCTCTGCCTTTACTAATACAGCCTGACCTTCCACCCCAGTTTTCCTCTGGTGTCTCATTGCAGCTAAGAGACAAGGCTATGGCCAGGAGAGTGGGCAGGGGACAGGCCTCTAGCAGGTCCCCAGTGATGACCGGCATGGCTGCTCTGTGAGGACCAGGCCCCCCATCTTCAAAGACCATCATGCTCAGACGTGGGACCACCAGATGATCCAATGCTTAGGTCCAAGCAACTCACGATGACCACCAAAGGCCAGAGTTCTGAATCTGGGGTCCGTTTCAGTGAGTCTGTGAACTTGGATGGGAAAAAAAATTATTGTTATTGCAATAGATTCAGTTTCTTCCCTGATCCTGTGCATTTTATTTTATTTGTGTAAAAACATGGTTCTGAGAAGGGGTACCTAGGCTTTAGCAGGCTCTCGAAAGGTCTGTTGAAGAAGCCCTGCTCTGCGGCGCGGGCGTGTCCAGCCGCAAGCAGAGATGGCCAGTGAGCGCTGGGGGCTCAAGGGTACAACCGCGCAGAGGGGTCCAGCTCAGCCTCCCAACTCTGGAGCAGCCGCAGCTTCAGTGGCCTGGGCCCATATCCAGGAGGAAAGTAGCCCAGGCGCCCCTGCGAAGCCTTTCTCTTCCCACCCTTTCATCTGTCATGTGTTCCCACACCGCCGTTACAAAGAACAGCAATTACTGACTTGCCAGGACAGGTGCTCTGTTATCCCACTGGACCACCTGGAAAGCCTACTGAGGCTGCTAGTCTCTGCATTGAGAGCAGGATGGGCCTCACCGCAGGGGAAGACCAGGACCTCGGGCAGCCCCGGGGAAGGAGTGGTTAACACATCTGAGCCCTGAATTGACTGCCCCCACCCCACCTCCACTCATGTCTTGGTGGTGTGATGTATCAAACATCGCTGCGGGCTATTGGGACGAGCTCAGCACGGGTCCTTTCCTGCCCCTTCCTTCATGCTCGGAAGCTTAGTTTGCAGCAGCCTGAGCCAGAAGGTATCTTTCTGACTACGACACGTTGCATATTTACCCAGAGAAAGCAAAGCACTGGGCATTGGGAAGGCAAAGTCTCAAGACAAAATTCGGAACAGGACACAGAATAACCAATTGATAGGCATCCCATTTTAAACATTTTGTGCATGTAACTTTTAACAAGAAAGCAAAAAATTTATACACACTTAAAACCAATTTCTGCATTCAATATGTCCGTGAAAGTGTATTAGTCATTCCCCCTATATCCCTTTCCTTTCCCCTTTCTTTGTTCATTCCTTTATTCAAATGAGCAATTTTCCTTTCATATGGTCAAAACCAGTCAGTCAGCCAATAAATATTTATTAAGCGCCTACTATGTGCCAGGCGCTGTGCTAAGCTCTGGGCATACAAATGTGAAAAAGGAGTCCCTTCCCTCAAGAGGCTTACAACCTAATAGGGGAAGACAGCACCTAAAAGGAAGCCTCGGAGTGGTGGGGGCGTCTGAGGAAAGAAGGTACCTGGGTACCTCTCCAGTCTGCCTTCCAATCAGGGGGATCCCAGGGCAGATGGGACCCCGTGACATGTGAGCACCAAGGCTGATGTGATTTTGCTGGGTGCGGCTCCTGGGGACTGATGGAGAAGCCCAACCAAATGAGTGCAGCCCGGTGGGAAGTGTGTTTCTGATTAAGATTCATTTAATAGACTTCCAAATGTATTTATTTTCATCATGTTTAAAATGTTAATACACAGTAATAATAATTTTTTGAACCTCAAGGTTTCTTTCAGTTCTTTGCAATTAAACATAATATTAGTTTTCCACGAGATATATCTTCATTTGTGATGACACTCAGAGTATCTTCCCATTCATGTGACTGTTGGATCAAAGAGGTTGATTGTTTTCTGTGGCTCCCGCCATGTACAGGCTGAAGGAGTCCACAGATGGACCATGACACCAGCAATGGGTAAAGAGAGCCTTTTCTATAGGACCCCACCAGAATCGAGTTGGGTCACTTTTAATTATTTTTGCAACATTGGTGACTGGGACATGAAACTTCAAAGTTGGCATTTCTCTGGTCATCAGTGAACTTCCACGTTTTGAAAAACTGTTTAGGCTATCATGAGCTCTCTCAGTTCCTTCTTAGGTGTTCTGTATCTCTATGTCCCCTCCCCCTTAAAAGGAAGTTTCTGGACTGCAGACACTGCTTTGTTTTTGTCTTGGCATCTCCACAGTCTAGCTGAGTGCCCAGGAAAACACTGGCACTGAAGTGAATTGTTGAACATGGGTCCCCCCCCTTCACCCCACCCTTTTGTAAACTGTTAGCTCATCTCCTTGAACAGTTTACCCAGTGGTGGCTGGATGTGGCCTTCAAAGTTGACCCCAGTTCGTTAGAAGCCGCGAGGTTCCATTTGTCTCCCAGTTCCAGCCTCTGGCTCTGGATTCACAACAAGGGCATTTCCTAATTTGCTGTTTTCTTTTGGTCTTGGTCACTTTTGTAGCCCCTTAACTTCAGGGCTTCATTCTGCATTGTGTTCCCCAAGCTTCATTTGGGATTCTAGATGAAGGCTGGACATATGTGCTTGGCTTATTGATGACTGGATAAAGGTAGGGCCAGATCTGAGGCTTCACTGGTCTAGAGAACTCTTGAACCAGGATGCCCCCTCCACCAAGGCCAGTGGGCACCTTCTGGTCTTAGAGAGTGGCCACAATGTGCCAGAGGTAGGATTTGAACCTAGGTATTCCTGAATTTCTGACTACTTCTTAATCTATCATCCAAATGGATTCACCTGGGAAATAGAGTCACCTTCCTGTCCTTACTTAAAAATGCAAGATAAATGGCAGTCATCATTGTTTTTAATTATTATATTGTGAAAGAAATGCAGAATGTAAACAATCACAATTGTCCTTTTTCCCCTTTATATTTCTAAGGATTTTCCCCATTCTCCCCTCTCCTAGCTGGTCTACAATGACAACAGCCCGCCTCCGGAGAGCTCCTGCGGCTGCTCCCCCATTCTGGCCTTTCTCTCAAATGTACCCAGAGTTTCACAGCTGTCACCTGGGAGCCCCCCCCCCACCTTCCTTGGCTGAGAGCAGGAGGCATTGGGATCCTCCTTTCATCAAGCTTTTCCGCGTCTAGTTTCTATCCCTCCATTCTCTGTCTCTTCCTCTTTTCCTCCCAGGCCATGGTCATCTCCATGGAAACCAGAATGGGCTTGCTGGACATTCAGGAAATCTTGCAGGAGAGCTTTGCTGAGGCTGTTCCCAAGTTTGTTCGATTCGTGGTCTCCAGCACTGTTCCATAACCAATCTCTTTACCTGCTTCATTATTTCTGAGTTCACGCATTTTCTTTCCTCTTGTGATGGAACTCAAGGCAATGTGCTTTTGGGGTCTGGAGAACAGGGAGCCAAGGAGGCAGAAGGGAAAGAGGAGGTGAGGGGAGGGTCAGAACGAGGGAGGCTAGAATCTCCCCTTTCATGGGAAGCCTTGGCTGATCCCGGGTATTCTCGGGGCTTTTCCTCCATTGATATTACCCGTGGGCTCTGTAGATAGCGCTTTGCAGTGGGGCTACTTCTTTTGTTGTCTCCCAGTGGAATGGGAGCTCCCCGAGGGCAGGTTCTGGCTTTTGTCTTTCTTCGTATTCCTAGCACTTAGCACAGTGCCTGACACACAGTAGGTGCTAAATAGTTTATTTGACTGACACCGAATGAGTGGAATATTACTGTGCTGTAAAACATGGGTAAAGATTTACACCAAAATGAAGTAAGGCCAGCCAAGGAACCAGTCAACACAGTGACCACAACAATCACAAAACCACTAAGGAAAGCTGCAGGTCACAGAAACAAGCTGGGCGTCAAGGGAGGGGTGAGGAGGCTCCTCCCCCACTCTTCGGGGGAGCTGAGGGCCATCTGGCAGGTGACTAGGCTCTCTGCTTTTTCTCTTCTGCTTTGTTTTTCTTCTTAAAAAATCTGTTTTATGGAATGGCTCTCTGAGACAGTCAGGAAGAGGCACCCATGGTGGATTGTCGGTGACATAAAAATATAAGAAACCAATAAAAATGTATTTTAAAAAAAGAACCTGGAATCTAGGGGTATGCTGGGAAATTCTTAACAACTGGCATCTTTTCAGTTTTATCTGCATTATTTTCATTATCTCCATCACTTTCTTCAGTCTAGACAATCACCGAAACAATAAATTAAGCCTAATTTGAAGCATTTGTAGATTTATTTACACTGTTCACACTGGAAATGTAACAACTGGTTCCAGAGCTGGCTCCAGCATACACACACACACACACTCTCAACCCACATACAAACCCACCATTTTCTAGAAAGGCTTACTGCCTCCAGCAAACGGTAGCAAGAACAGGAGATGGTGGGGGGGGGGGTGACCGAAACCCAGCAGATGGCAGCTATGACATCACCAGGGCCCCTAGAATCACCATTGAGATGTGAGCTGCCCTGACCAGGTGTTCCCTGGCTCCAGGTGGCCCCTTCCGTGGGCTTTCTTGGGCACACCTGCCCCACCCACCCCCGTGGTGAGGGTGCGGCAACCCTGTGGTTATGGGGAAATATTCACTGTCACTAAATTTGCTATGGTGTTTCATTCAATGAAGATCTTGGCTTTGACTCAATGTGTACTTTCTGGGTGTCTTAGTAAAATGCAGTGGGGCTCGGGAGCTGTCCCAAACATGGTTGCTGACCATGCAGGGCCTCAGCCTGGAGCAGCTGCCTAGGGGCTTCAGATGGGGTTAGAGTGAAGGTTAGGCACCCACCTCCACCACTATTAATAATCATCACCATAACTCCTCAGTACACAAGTAATCAACGTTTCTATAGCATGTTAGATGTTTAGGATTCATCTATTGCTTTACAAACATTATGTGACTGGAGCCAGTCTGAAGTCTGTCTAGGCCAGCAGCATGGTTCCCTTTGAACAGCCCCAGGATCCAGTGACTTGCCTCAGGGGCCCAGCCAGTGAGTGGTGGAGGCAGGAGGGGGACCTCAGGAGGCTGGTGCCTGACAGCATCCACCAGGTCCAGCCAACATGGGGGAAAGGAGAGGGCTGCTGGGATAGAAGGTCTGCTTCCACAGAAGAACGTGGAAAGGAGGTTCTGTGCCTTCAATCCTTCTTGACTTCTGCTTTCTCTTCTAAGAGAAAGAACCTTGGGTTCTAAGTGGGTAAGAGAGAGTGGAAACTCAGGGTAAATGAGCCAGTTGAAAGAACGCTTACCTGTGCTCAGAGGCTGGCAGCATGCTGCTCTTCCTGGCCAAAGGGAAACAGTCCTTGCCCTCAAGGAGATTACATTCAGCTGGGAGAGACAACATGGACACAGGGGCACAGAAATAGAAGAGAGATGACATAAATACAGGGTAATTTAAAGGTCAGGAATTGAAAAGTCCTCAGGTAGAAGGTGAATCTTGAGATTAACTTGGGAGGAGAGAGAGTAAAGGCAGCTCAAATAAGAGAAAGGAAATGAATGTGTAATAAGGCTGGAAAGGTCAGTTAGGATCCAGGTGTGGAATACTAATGGTCTAAGGAGAAGTTTTATCTGAGTCTAGAGGTACTTGGGAGCCCCTTGAGTTTACTGACAGGGAACCTGAACTTTAGGCAAGTTGCTTTAGCAGCTAGGGAGAGGAAGGGGTGGGGAGGAAAGAGACAGTGCAATGGGACCAGCGGGGAGGCTGTTACAATAGTCCAGGGGAAAAGCAGCAGCGTGAACTGAGATGGTGCACAGGGGATAGAAGGTAGGTTGGTCAGGAAGACCTGAGTCCAAATTCAGCCTCGGACACATTCTAGCCACGTGATCCTGGGAAAGTCACTTTACCCCTGTTTGCTTCAGTTGCCTATCTGTAAAAGGGGAGTAATAGTTGTGCCTCCCTGGGTTGTCGTGAGGGCTAAAGGAGATAAGACTTGTATGACACTTTGCAAATCTTAAAGCACTAGAAAATGCTCGCTCTCATGTGAATGGAGAGAACAGGATGTTATGGAGGTCAGAACGGCAACTACTGAGCTACTGCCAGTAAGGAGGGAAGAATGAGGCTGAGCCGGCAAACCTGGGAGAGCCGAGAGAGCTGGACCCTTGATCTTTGACAGTGAGAGAGGAATCCAGAAGATGATCTGGTTGGGGAGGAAAGATAATGAGTCCTGTTTGGAACATGTTAGGTTTGAGAAAGGTCCTATAGGGAGTGGGGGAAGTGGGACTGGAGCCCAGAGGGGAGTTTGGATTTGGGCATCCTCAGCTGAGAGATGGTAATGGAATCACCAAGACAGAAGGGGGCTCAGCACCGAGCCCTGGGAGAATAATCAAGAGGAGGGGGCAGGATAGGGACCTTGACTCAGTTGGGAAGTATGAGGCAGCCAGGAGGGGAGAGAACCAGGGCTGGAGAGGAGAAGGTCAAACATTTCACAGAGGTCAAGAAGGATGGAGACTGAGAAAAAGGCCACAGGTTTGGTGATTAAAGATCACTGGTAATGTTGGAGAGGGTGGTCAAGAAATGAGGTCAGAAGCCAGACTGTAAAGGGCTAAGCAGTGAGTCAGAGGAGAGAGAGGGTAGAGGCGACAAGTGGGAGGGCTCTTTCTAGAAGCTGGCCCTTGAGATAGAGGGAGACGACCCAGGTCGAGGGCTGGAGGGGATGGTAGAATCTCACGAGTGTCTTTCAGGGAGACTTGGTCTTGCTTGTGAAGAGCAGGGAGGCAGCTGGTGCTTGGGGAGGAATGGAAGCCGATAGAGAGAGGATGACCAGGGGAGAGGGCAGATGTCCCAACGTGGATGTCGGCAGGAAGAAGGACCACTTCTCTTCATCAGACGCTGGAGTTTATAAAGGAGGAGAAAATGGAGAATGGCACTGATGGGGGCTTGGAACATGCCTCTCCCCAGCCCAAAGACCCTATGTCTGGCAATAACTCCTGCGTGGGCCCAGTGAGGCAAACGATCTCTCCCTGCTTAGGAATAAGCCGACCTCGGGAGAATCTCCCTTGTATGAACAGGACTATCTTGTACCAGATAGAGAAGAACTATCATGTACTGATAACTGACTCCCACAGTTACCGCATGCAACCCAGATGTCAACTTCCAAGGCTCTCTTGTTACTGACTGAGCCGTGCAGACCCCTCAGAAGAACCCCCCAGGCCATGCCAGTGGTGAATGACACCTGTGCCCAAGGGACAGAGACTGTTCCCCCCCACCAGTCAGCATACTTGCCACACAATTTACTCTTTTCTGTCTAAGCTCTAGCATGGCCCCGCCTTTATTAGCCTTATAAGCAACTTTTTGCCACCTGACTGGAAGACTGCTTGAATCTGTGAATTCTTTCCAGACAACTCTGCCCTGTACGTTGGTATTTTGGGGTCCCTACACCCCTAAACTGCATCAGCACCAAGGGGTTTTGAATTGAAGAGAAGTGGAGAAGAGCAAGATCCTGGCCAATGGCCCTTCTTTTCACTTCTGTGGAAGGCGAGTGGGGGATGGGAGGGGAGGAGGGAGAGGGAAAAGGAGAGGGAGAGGGGGAAGGGCCTCTCCTGAGCCAGGGCAGGGGAAGGTCTCTGCTGGGGGGAGAGGAAAGGAGGGGAAGGCCCCTGCCCGGGAGAGGGGGGAAGGGGGGCCCTTCGAAGCCTTGTTTGCCCACCCAATTCCCACGGCCCCTTCCTTTGAACGAATGAAAAAAAGAATTTGTCATGCACTTATTGTATGCAAAGCACCAGGGTACAAGCAGGCAAGTCCCACCCTCCTCGCCTTCCAGAAGCTAACTCCCAATGGGGGAGACCACGGAGATCCAGCTGTGAGCCACATAGAGAGGTCACAGTCAGCTGATGAAGTCCTATCTGTGTGTGACACCCTGGGCAAGGACTCTGGCGGCCAGAACTGGCCCTCCTGGGTCTTCCGCAGCTGTGGCTGCAGCCCCTGCAGGAGCTATGGGGGCACTTCCTGGGAGGATGCTGAGGGCCCTGGGCTTGAGGCCTGGACCTGGCCCCGGCCCTGGACCGCTAGGTAGCCCAATGGACAGAGCACAGGGACTGAAAGATGAGAGAAACCTATCTTCCTGAGTTCAAATCTGGCCTCGGATGCTTACTTGCTAGCTGTGTGACCCTGGGCAACTTACCTAACCATGTTTGCCTCAGTTTCCTCATCTGTCAAATGAGCTGGAGAAGAAAATGGCAAACCACTCCAATATCTCTGCCCAAAAACCCTGAATGAGGTCACAAAGAATTGGACACAACCAAAAATGACTGAACAAGAACCCTCCATATGGAAGAGAGAAGAAACACCAGAACTAAAAGACAAAGTCCTGAAAGGTGGCTATCCAGGTTCTCGCCAAACTGTCCTCGCCGTTCTTCCCTGGATTTGGAATTCCCTCTCCAGTCTCCACGACTTCACCACCATGCGTGGAACCCTAACACTCACTAGTGGGCTGACCCTCAGCAAGTCACTTCACCTGTTTGCCTCAGTTTCCTCAACCAGAAAATGGGAATAATAATAATAGCACGTACCTCCCAGGTTTGTTGGGTTTGGCACACATTCGGTACTAAATAACTGCTTATTTATTTCCTTCCTTCCCTCCTTCTGGGAATGGACTGCCTGGGTGGAAGTCAACTAGAGAGGAGGGAGGCACAATGCAGAAGCTAGAGGGTTGCTGTTCCAGGCTGCTATAGGCACAATTCCTGATCACGTATGTATTGGCCTAGATGCCTCTGAGGTTCTGAAATTCTATAAAATCAAGCCTCCTCTGGTTGATTAACACAGGGAAGCATCAGAGCTCCAGACATAGAAAACTGGATAGTATTATCCAGCCATCCCACATTCCCTACGGCTCTTCATAGTGCTCTCCCAATAGCCCCAGAACCTCAGACTTATGCTGCGGGTGGGGGTGGGGAAGAAGACAGGTTCCTTGTCAATGGCTGTGAAGTGGGAGATCTCCCAGGGAGGGAACCAAGGCCTTCATCATAGCTATGCCACCAAGTTGCTCCATCTCAGCCCCATGGCATTGCATGGCACAGCATGGTGGGCCTTCGGGATTGTTACAGGCAGTTTCAGCCCACAAGTCGGGGAAACTTAGAACACTGACTTTCCTGCCAGAGTGGGTGTTTGGCTCTAGTTTGAGCAATTCCTGTCAGACCAAAAGCACTGGATGAATTTGGGTTTCTCACTGTAATTGCTAAAGCCACAGTGACCAATTAATTCAGGAAATTAAAATGGAACACATTGTAATTATGTACCTTAGGAGATCGAAAATGTGAAAAACTCCTGGTCAACTCCACTTGCCAAGTAAAGATGCTCTAACTGCACAGGCAAAGTTTCATGAAAGTCAGAAAAAATCAGGAGTCCAGGTGACCCCAAAGGACAAATCCCTGACCTACAGTCTGAAGTCACTGTCCTCATTACTATAGTATCCCCTGCTGTCACAGGATTTGTATCTGAAGTGCAGATTTTGCAGCTAGGTGGTACAGTGGATAATGCCAGGCCTGAAGTCAGGAAGACTCCTCTTCTTGAGTTCAAATCCAGCCTCACACTTACTATGTGACCCAGGGCAAGTGATTGCACCCTGTTTGCCTCAGTTTTCTCATCTGTAAAATGAGCTGGAAAAGGAAATGGCAAACCACTTCAGTGTCTTTGCCAAGAAAACCCCAGTGGGGGTCATGCAGAATCCAGCACCACTGAAAACAACTGAACAACAATGTCCAGGAGGCTTCAAGCACTGTCTCTGTTAACTTGCTTCTTCTTATTTCCCCTTCAATGAAATGAGGTTCGGCTCAGGTGCCATCTACCTTGGGAAGCCCTCATCATCATCTCCAGGAAGGTGATTGCTAGTACTCTGTCCCTGCACCCCCAGAAGAAGGTAAGGTTCCTGGCGGCTGGGCTTTGTGTCTGTGTCCCCAGCTGGTGGCTAGTGCCTCGATTACGGTGGGAGCTTAATACCGGTTGTGGAATTCAGCAGAGTAAGAACACTTTTAGCTTGGGCGCCTCGTTTCTATCCTAGTGAATCTCGATGTTTGGTCCAGCACACGGCCCGCTACTTATGGAAAGGAAGCCTCCGATGGGACAGATCCAGGGTCTCTAGATCTGGGGTCTCCAGATCTGGGGTCTCTAGGGAGGCATCCTTTGGGGGCCCCCTCTCCTTCCTGCGGTCTGGGCACGGGGCTGGCACTTCCCGAGCTTCCCGGGGCTTCGGGGGTGGGCCAGGCCTTTCGGCGCTGCTCTCAGCCCCACGGCAGGCGAGCTCCCTCCAAGGGGAGGGGCTGCGCTGGCCTTCACTGAAATGGAGCCAAAGGGTCCCGGCAGATACAAAGTTGCCCTCGCCATTGCTCACGCGCAGGCGCACACGCGCCCCCGGCCGGGCCGGAGCCTGGGAGCCCCGCCCCCTCCCGCGGCGGACCCCGCCTCCTAGTCCAGCCGCAGCCTCTCCCCGAGCACGTGACGTTCGCCCCCAGCCCGGACCTGCAGGGGCGGGACGAGCGCGGCTATCGGCCCGCAGGTCCCGCCTCCGAAGCTCAGCAGCCAATCCTCGAGTTTTGCGTCACGCCTGCCTCGCCCCCGTCCCACCCCGTCCATTCCACGGCGCCCGCTCCAGCTCCAAGAACCCTGAGCTCCGGCCGCGGCGGCTGCGCCTTAGACGGGAGGGGGAAGGGGAGAGGCGGGGCCCGGGGCCTGGGGCCTGGGGCCGGCCTGCGCCGCCGCCTCCCCTCCGCCACGGCCCGACTCGGCCCGGCGGGTTCGGCGAGGTCCGGCAGGCCTTGGACGGCTGGGGCTAGCGGCCCTGCCCGGCGTCGGGCCGGAGAGTAGCCGCGCGGGTGGAGGGCGATGACAGGAGCCGCCGCCGGACTCAGGTACAGCGGGCTCGCCGCCAGGACGTCCGTCCCGGCCCGCGGTCCGAGCGGCTGCAGGTACCGCCCACGTCCGAGGCCCTCCGCTGCGTGCCGGACAGACAGACTGGGGGGGGGAAGCGGCACTCGAACTCGGCTCTTGGTAGCGTGACTCGGGGTCGGGGGCTCTGGGAGCGCGCGGGTTTTAAAGGCGCGGGGTGGGGGAAGGCTCCCCCATTTGGGGCTTAGCGGCGTCGTAGCCCTTCGTTTTGCAGAGGAGGAAACTGAGGCCCGGCCGAAGGAGGCCCCGTGCTCTGTCGTGGCAGAGCGGGGTCGGGGGAGGAAGCCCCGGCCTCGGGAACCACGACTTGGGGGGACCCTCCCCCTCCGGGCCGCCCCAGCCTGGACTTGAACCTGGGGAGGGGCAGGGCTGGAGCCGGGACCTTCCCCCCTCCCCCTAGGACTGACCAGCGGCCGTGACCTACGGCTTCTGCCCACCGGGAGGCGGGCCTGGGTGCCCCCTCACCCTCCGCCCCTCCCCCAGCTACTAGATAAGGGGGGGGCAGGCGAGGCCCTGCGTCCCTTACTCCCTGCCTGGGAAGCTCAGCGAGCGTGGCCACAAAGTGAGTAACCCTTTGGGCAGCCTGTGGTCTCTGGGAGCGAAGGGCCGGCTCGGGCAGCCAAACTGCCCCCCCTTCCCCCCCCGAGCTGGAGCCAAGCTCTAGAAAAGTAGCCAGGTTTGGTATTGTTGGGGGGGGCTTCTCGTAAATGTCTTAAGGTACCTAAGCTGGCTTCCTCTTCCCGTGGGGGGCCGTAATTAGAGGAAGGGGTGGAGCAAGGTGCCCGGAGGCACACTGAAGTTCGCTGGGCAGGGAGGGGTCAGAAGCGCCCTGGAAGGGGCTGCTGCCTGTGATGGAAGTTTAGGAGACTGCCAGGTGAGCCCAGAGGCTTCTGCCACACATGACCTCAGGGACCATGATCTTGCCTGGGCTTCCCTTTCCTTATCTGTGGGGGGGGGAGGGGGTCGGGGGCCGGGCTTCACTAGAAGGGACTTTCTGCCTCAGCACTCACCTGATGCCCAGCTGGTCTCAGGGGCATAGAGATGCTGGCCCCACATCCCAGCATCCCCAAGGGCTGAGCCAGAGGTGGCCTATCCTGGTGCTGCCTGCACTGCACTGAGACACTAAAGCCCTCACTACTCACCCTGGGCTCCAATTGAAACAAATCTCCACACCTCTAGAGGGCTCCACTAGGTAGAGCACTGGTTCTCCCGTCAAGATCTAGATTCAGATCCAGCATCCCACACCTAGCTGTGTGGCCTCGGGTGAGTCGCTTAAGGAGTGCCTACCTCACTTTCCTCAGCTGTAAATGGGGGCCTGTGTAAAGGCCAAAGCCTCTGGGAATGGCCATTTTAATGCCTTATCATGGGGGCCTTTGCCTCCCCCCTAGGTTGGGCCCAGCCCTGACTCCACTCCTTTAACTGGCTGAGGAAGAATCCACACCCGCAGCCCAGGGGTTCTGTGTGGATCGGTGCTCAGGCACGTGCAAGCCTTCCCTTCCTTCCCTGGTCCCAGAGGCATAGCTCAGGAAGCTGCTCCCTAATCAGTCCTCCCCAGGCTGCGGATTGAAGGCACCTCTGTGCCCCAGGCCGCTGCACTGTGATCAGTCTGTGGCAGGTCCCCTCCCGCTGCTGGAGGCCTACTTCCTCCTTTTGCTTTGGGGGGCTCCTTTGGCTGGAGCAGCTGCATGGCTCTGCGCCTGGCCTCGGGCCTTGAACCCAGGTCCTCCTGCCTCTGCCCTGCTTGGTGTGGTGCCAGCCTCGCCTTGACTGAGGTCACCCACGCCCAAGGCAGGCCGTTGTCCCCAGGTTTGCTTCCTTTTCCTGTTGGCTGGGCTCCATGCCTGTGCTGGAATACACTTGGTATAATCCAATCCCTTCTCCACCCATTTTACAGATAAAGAGCTGAGGAGCAGTGACCAGCAGGGAGGTCCCTTTGCTTCCTGAACCTGTTTCCATCTGCCTCTCCGGGTCACTGAGTCCTGGGACTGTGCATTAGGGAATCCAACAAATTCTCAGAATGGGGCGAGGACTGAACTGTGAGGGCCTGGAGAGGCCCTGGGTACCCACTGCACAGCCCTGACTCGCCATGCATCCGCCTTGCTTTAGCCCTTGGGTCTAGACCGTGGGTGCCTGCGAAGGTCCCACGAGGCTTCCCCATCGAAGGGGCAGTGGGGCTCCCGCTGCCTCCAGTGGGCCTTTGGGGGCAGACGGGAGCCCCCTGTGGACAGAGATATTTTGACTTGAAGCTGTGACATTTTACCAGGTGGGCGTCTGTTCCCAGCAGGATGTTTAGGACGTTCCAGAAGCCTGTGTGTGGCCCCTTAGCGTGGTCATTCCTCATGACCGAAAGGCCCCAGCGGCCAGTGCCTCTGCCCAGGAGTCAGGCCCCAAAGGCGGCGGGGCCCTTGCTTTGGGTTCTCAGATCACGGGGTCCTGGCCTTTGTCCCTTCAGGGGCCACGTTGGCCGGGCTGCGGTCCATTTGTGGACTTGGGGGCCACATTTGCTGCTGTGGGAGCACCCCTGACAACACAAGGTGGGGTGTTAAAGGCTATAGTGTCCTCAGTCCTAGCTGACCTTCCAGCCCAGGAAAGGGCCCATCCCCCCAACCGGCCAAGGACATTGAGTGGGGTGCTGCCCAGGGCAGAATGAGGTGGGCTCTCTTGGGCCCCTGTGTGGATCCCCTTTAGGCACATTGGTGATTGATTCTCAAAGTGGGGGTGGGGTGGGGTACTAGTTGACCCTGGCTCCAGAGGGAAAGGCCCTGGGTTCAGATTCTGACTGGACTCGCTGGGCCAGTCCCCGAGGCTCCAGTTAGCCTGGGCTGAAGCTGTGACAATTCCTGCCCTCAGGAGTTCAAGCAGCTTTGCTAGGAGGCTGGGGGTGGGGAGGAGAGAGGTTGACACAGAGAGTCAGTGTGGAGATAAGGGGAATCTGTACGGAAATGTCAAAGAAGTAGGGTTGGGCTCCAGTGCCTGGTGGGAGGCAGGGGCTGAGGACCAAGGCCACGTTGGGCCAGTCAGCCGTTGGGCCGGTCAGCCTGCTCGGCAGGGCCATGGGGAAAGGATGGTTCTGTCCCCTGAGTGGGGCTGGAATCAGTGAGAACATGGGCATGAAGGCGCTTGGGTTCAGGAGCCACCAGGACCCTCCCTTAGCTCTCAGTCTCCTTCCCTTGAAGGGCGGGGGCTAGGGCCGAGGTGGACAGAGCCCGGGGAGCCCAGCCTGGAGCTTCTGGGTGGGCTGGGGAGCACCTGAGTAGAGTCTGCCTGGAAGCAAAGAATAAGCATTTACTGAACTCCGACTGCGTGCCAGACACTGTGCTAATGTGAGCCTTATGACAGCCTTTGTGAGGGAGGAGGTGCTGTTATTACCCACCCCGGCCCCCCCAGTTATAGGGGAGGAAACTGAGGCAGGGAGAGATTAAATGACCTGCCCAGGGTCTAAGACACAGCTACTGAGTGTCTGGGGCTAGATTTGAACTCGCTTCCCTGCCTCCAGGCCCAGTGCTCTATGAGAATGACCACAGGTTCCAGAGGGTGGGTCGGATCTGAGGCTTGGTCTGAGATCTCCCTGGAGCAGGTGACACTTGGTGCTTCTCAAGCCCCGAAGGCTGGATTTCAGGAGGATCATCC